GTATAAAGCAAGTCTTTAGGGTCTCGCGGTTCGCAAAGAAAAATAGAATGGAAATACACAATTTGGCCATTGTATTCGGACCATCATTATTTAGTGCAGGTGCCGATGCGCTTCATAAGGGTAAAAAGGGAGAAAAAAAGAATCTGGAAGCTACAGGCGTACAAAACAACTCGCATTTTGTTTTCAACATGATAATGCAGGGCCAAATTCTTGAGTATCTCCTTACTGAATTTGACAAGTTTACTGCTTTTCACGAGGCTTCCATTGAAGAAACTAGTGTCTAAGTTTGTGGCTAGGCCATAAATTTATACATCAGTTTACGGCTCACGAGTTTCTAAAAAAGTACTGATTTGGTCAGATGGTCGGAAGTAACGTATTTTTGGAAGGTTGTCTGAGACCCATATGTTGCGAACTCTTCAGAGAGTTATGGGTTTTATTTTAGATTTTTTTAAAAGCTGTTTACTTCAATCTAGTATTATGTCTTTAGAAGTGAAAGGGCAAGTCTGAATTTTTCTTTTTGATTTTCAGTTTCATTTATGTGCTTTGTCGACATTGATTTGCGTGATTCAAGCTGACTCAACCGATGTGTAGAGTTTGTACATATGTACTTTATTTTTTCAAATTTGAAGAGTCTGGAAGTCTTCTGAAGACTCCTCTTATTATGCGGTTTGTTTTGCTTCTAGTAAACTGAGTGTTTATCATCAGTACTGTTCATCATTAATGCTGGTTTGGTCTGGGTGTTTTATCGGTGATTTTGAAAACTACATCAGTTTATTTACTTTGTTTTTGGAATTTATTTGTCTTACTATCATGAGGTCCATTATAATTTGCTAATTTATTTTTGCACACTTTTGTGCTTACGGTCGTGGTTTATTTTCAGGTGTTTTTTTCTTGCAGAAATTAGGGTAATGTTTATACTTATTGTTCTCTTACATCTAATTTTCTATATCCAGTGATCTAGACACTCTTCACTTGAAATACTTCCGTTATGGAATTAAAATTTTATTAAGTCCTCGAGTATAGATCGTCTGCTTACTTCTCTTGTTGTCGTGTATTTTGTAACCATACTCTCGTTTCTTTAGTCATATTTAACTACAATGTCGTTAAATGACTGATGAGTCAAATTAGCATTTGCTACTCACTAGCTTTCGTGTATGAATGGAGTATATCTGAAAATTGTATAAACGTTTCCTATGGATACGACATATTTCTCTCCAGTAAAATTTTGTTATTACCGTCGTTACTGTATGGCTTTTAGCTGGTGTTTTCGTGGAGGTTCGTATTCGCTCCTTGTCGTTATTGGTTTATCTTCTTAACTGAATATTGGGCGAATATTCCGGCTCTTTGAGGTTTAAATTTTGGCATGAAAAGTTGTTTGGGGGGAATGCAGAAATATTTTTGGGGGAAAAAAAACGTTTATTGTTCGATCAAATTTTGATTTGGATATACTGCAACCCTTCCCTGCCGCAAGAGATGTTGCGCGGCAGGTCATGTAAGGTGCCTGAGCAGGTAGTGAAGGGCTAAGTGGGTGTATGGTTGTAATTTTTTTTTGTATTTGAAATCTATCGTTGCTTCTGATTCTTCTTGGGACGAGTAGGAGTTTGGTTTTTGACTGGTATTTTAGGTGAGGGTTACCTTAGTTCTTATGAGGTGCTGACCTCTCAGAGGACGTCTCAGCGTTAAGCTATGACGAAGAAGAAAAAGCATCTGGAGTGGTTTTTATCAGATTTAGAAACGTTTGAAACTCCGAAAGTATGGTTGGAGCAGTACGCTACTGGAGCAGAAATGGCTGGTATGTGTTTATTCTTCCTTTGCTTTTGCTGATAATCTTTGCCTTTTGGCTTGCCGGTAAACTGCCAGTTAAAATTTGTTGAAATATTGAAGCGACATTGTTGCGCAGGGAATTTCAGTTTCTATTTTGGAAACTATTGATGGAAACGGCCATATACGAGACTGTACAGTTGCTGACCTCGGTTGTGGCTGTGGAGTTTTTATGCTTGGAGCGGTGGAGTGTGGGGCCCTGTATGTCGACCTTTTTAATCGGTTTTGAGTAACATTTAAAAATCGTTTGAGATGTCAGAACTACAGTTGATATCTGAATTTAAAAAGTTTTAGTTACTCATTGGGCTTAGAGATTGATAGTGACGCTATCAAAATCTGCAAAAGAAACATTGAGCAAGTTGACTTCGGGAAAGTTACTGAAGTTTTAAATATAGATGTGATTAAAAGTATCGCCGCTGTTCGTGGTATATTGTTTGATACAGTGATAACAAATCCGCCATTCGGAACAAAGAACAACGCTGGTAGTTATAGCTGCTTTTTTCATTAGTTTTATCTTTACTTGAACGTCTGAAAAATAAGTTAGTTCTCATACTCAGGATATATTACAATTATTTTTGAACGAAGGAATTATAACCAGTGCTCTTCACTCACGATGGTTTAGTGATTTTTTGAAATTTAGGAAGTGATGTTAAATTTGTTGAAGCTGGAATGTCGCTACTTCGAGACGGGGGCCACCTTTATTCGTTACATAAAACTAGCACCCGCAAATTTATCTTGAAGAGTGCGAGAAAGTGGCAGAATATTAAAGCAGAGTGTCTTGCCGAATTGAGATGGGATTTGCCCGCCACATATAA